ATCTGGCCCTTGGCCTTTTCATATGGCCTGTGAACTGAGAAGGGTTTCCAACAACAACAACAAAGAAGAGTATGGGACATGGCATTGGTGGCCCGTAAAGCCGAAAGTATTTACTGTCTGGCCCTCTACAAAGAAAGTTTGCTGACACCACCCCCCCCAAACTTTCTATCCTACACTGTCGTGTTCTGTTCGGCTGCACTGTACTCCACTTCATTCACTGTTCGGCTGTACTTACTAAATTAGTTCCCTGATCTGCTGATGGGTTGCAAACCTCAGTTTGAAAACTGCATTCATACCAGAGTCTGTTTTCTCACTAGATGGAAAAATGGGTGAATAAACAGTGAACTGACTGACGGACGCAAAGACACAGGAGAAGAAAACAGGTAAGGTGACCTTAGCCAAGCAATGTCCCCTTGTTGAGTGTCAGATGGCTCAGCTGAGACCAGGAACACCCCAGACCTGCCACTGAAGGCTGTGTTGAGGGGCAGTGGGGTCCTGTCTGTGTCAGTCTTCTTGATGGGTCTGTAATTGACATCTCAAGGAGAGACCGAGCCCTCTGACAGACGGGCACGGCAGAGCGCGTCTTTACCGTCCTTGTCAACACCTAGACCAGAGCCTGGCCTGGAGGAGGGGCTCAGGGAGTATTTCTTTGGGATAAAGGCGATATGCCAGTGGCATCCAAGGCCCCTCTGTGACTGGATTCTCACCCTGTCTGCAGTTGGACCTCTCTTCCTCTGGCCACACAACCCCTTTGGCCTTTCCCACCTGACCAGACCCTTCCTTCCTCCTGCTGGAGTCCCCAGCCCTGTCCCTGCTCCCACCTCTCCTGACAAAATCCCTGTGATGAGGCCCCTCTCAGATGCCATCATCCTTGCAGCCCCTGGCAAGTCATCAACAAGACCCATGTATATTTCTACGCACAGGCTCTGGAGCTTCCAAGATGCTGGGTCCGTGGCCCCAGTGTTCCTGGACAGGTCAGTGGACTTTCTGAGTCTCAGTTCCCTTGTCTGGGAAATGGGTGTCCACTAGGCAGTGTGATAGTGAGGATTCCCATGGTGCAGAGCTCCTGGCACGTGGCCAGCCCTCGCTAAGTGACCTCAAGGCTCTCCTTTGGTGACTGGGTGGGGACTGGGGGGTTCCCATCCCTGCAGAGGGAGGTGGGTTCCCCCAAGGATGGGGGATGTGTGAGATGAAAGCAGCATCTCCTTCAAGCACAAGTTTGGCTCCAGAACTGGCCACAGAGCGAGAGGGCATGGGATCAGAGATAAGTTTACTGAGTGCCAAACATACTGCTTTCCTTTTCTCAAGCAGACCTATTTTATGAAGAAACCCAGGCCCAAAGGGGCAAAAATGACTTGCATTCTGCTGGTAACCTTCTACTGACACGCACTGCCTTTCCCGAGCCCTCTGGGTATGGGTAACACCCCTTACTCCATCCTTTAGCAGCTGGTTCCCCTTCCAGAGCTGCCTCTGACGGGCGTCTTTACCTGGTGTCACCTGGAGGCCAGCAGCGAGGGAGATGCCCCTTGTTCTGGGCCCGCCTGGCCCCGGCCCAGCCCTGCAGACAAGAAGCCAGGGTCCTTTCCCAACTCTGCCACTGCCTCAGGCACCTGCTTGCTGGGTCTCAGCATCCCTGCTACACACAGGGGACAGTGGGACAGTGCTGCCTGCCCTGAGGTCCATGCGGGACTTTGCAATTTATGAAGAATGATCGTACTCATCCCACCCAAGGGAGCTGCTGCCATAGTCTTTTTATAGATGAAGAAAAAGAGACTCACTGAGGGGACAAGGGCAGAAGTGAGACTAAACCCACATGAAAGCCCCTTTCTCCCCAATCCAGAGAGCATCCCAGCCTGCTGTCAAATGGGAGGGAGAAGTGGTAGAATCTTTACAAATCACCTACTGGGAAGTCTGTCACAGCCTGCCTTTTTCTTCTTGCCTAAATGAAGCTCTGTATCAGGGTTTGGGGGGTGCAGACCAGAGCTCCCTCACGCTCCCTGACTGTCCCATTGCCCGGACACCCCAGCATGTCTCAAGAGAAATGTTTCCATCTGGTTCTGATTCATTTACACTTAATTAATCAACATGTTGTTTTGTAAGAGACACTTGAGATCCAAGAACCTTTCTCAAGCTTTTTCTTTCATTCTTTCTTGTCTTAGAAACAGAAAAATTAAAGAAAAAAAGAAGGAAAGAAACAGGAAAATTGGGTTTCATCAGAAAACAGTGACGCCAGGCTTGAGGAAGCGTGGGTCTGCGGGTGCCAGGCCCCGCGGGTGGCGGCTTGGGCTGGGCAGCTGCTGGGCCTTGCAGAGCAGGCCGAAGACTGAGGCCCAGGACTCGGGGATGGAGGGGAGGTTGGGGAAGTCAGGGAAGGGGTATTCGTCCACCGTGACAGCTGCTTAAGGGCAGGCCCCAGGTCTTTAGACCTTGGTGTCTCCAAGCTTTCCAGCACAGAGCCTGGCACGGAGGCCACCCTGTAGCGGTGGTTGAATGAACAGGTGAAAGATGGATGATGGAGCATGACCAGGGCCTAGGTGTCTTCAGGACACAGTCTCCTTCTACAGTGACAGCAAAATGTCAAAGCCGCTAGGACCCTCAGGGATGTCGTGTGGAGTTTTCCAAGTAGCTGTTTCATGAAAAATGGCCCTCTGCTGCATAATTAGTTTGGGAAACGTCCTGCTGTCTAGCCCCACTGCTTTGCCATGAATGCTCTGATAAGTCCTGCAGTGGAGAAATCTGCTAAACCCAGCATTTCTCAAACCTATTTGGCCAGGACTCCTAAGACCACTTGCCGAATATGCTATAGGAAGGGTTTTCCTACCCCTCCATGCCCCCACCCAGAGCCAATGGGAAACTGAGGGTGTTGGCAGGATCATGGGAGTCCACCATCTGGGTGTAAAGGGGCCCCGGGGTGGGAGTGAAATCCAAGGCTCTCTCCATTGTACTTGACTGATGAGTAGAGCTACAAGCCTCTCTCAGGAAATGCTGGAGGGGGCATGTTTATGTCCTATACACAAGACATCAATTACTGTGGGGAGGGGCGCCAAGAGCCCCTTTCCCAAACACGGGCAGCATCGGGAACAGCCATGTCCAACCTCTTCATCGAGCAACTGGGGATGGGGAGAGGGAGTGGAGGTTTTCTTTTTCTTTAATCTGTGTGTGTGTGTGTGGGGGGTCTTTTTAGAGCTGTGAAACATCTTAAAGATCTCCCCAACCAACTCCTCTTCAGTTGGGGAAATGGAGATTCTGGGAAGGGGGAAGGGAAGGCCAACACAGCTCAGGAGCCATCCTGACAGACACAGTGGGATTCCAGCCTGCATTGCTACTTACCTGCTGTGCAACCTTGGACAAATCAGTTTCCCTCTCTGAATCCTCATCCAGAACATAAGCATCACCCTGCCCGCCCTTCCCCTCACCCCTGTGAAGCTGTTGTGAGTAGCCAGGGACACCACACACAGGAAATGAAGATGACTGGTACCGACAAGTGCCCCTAGGAGCCCATGTACTTGGCTACTCACTTAACAAACATACACATTCAGTCTTGCCCACATCTGCCTGTGAGTCCAATGTTCCAGATTATCATTCCTTTTGTTAAAGGGGAGTCAATGAGGAGGAAGTTTTTATTTTTATTTCTTTGGTCTGTTCTAAAACTGAGAAAAATCTCAGAGATATTCTAAAAGGCTGTCGGATGGGTAAACCCAGGCTCAGAGAGGCAAAGTGACTTCCCCAAGGTCACTCAGCAGGTCACTGGGGAAGACACCGTCCAAGGGCCATTCACGGAGGAACATTCCCACAAAGTCCCAAACCTGCCCCAGTTCCCCTGAAGCCCACCCACTGCTCAGACCCCTGGATCCCTCCAACCAGTCACACCAGGGATGAGAGCCCTTTGGGTCGGTCACCCCCACCCAATCCCACCTCCGCATTTTCCCAAAGCCCCTCTCTGCTTCCTGCTCCACTCCAGGAGTGACTGTGTCCATGCCGGGCTTTTCACTCAAACGAACTAGAAGCTTCTAGAAGGCAGACTCTCTTTTTTTATTCCCATGTAGCCTTGTTCGGACCTTGCAGGACAGCTTAGCAAAGTTCCTTAACCTGTAAAGCCTTGGCACCCAGCTGTCATAAGGAAGTGGTAGGGATTCCCTTAATGAGAGAAAACCTTGGCACAGTGGCTGGGATTCCAAGGTTGCCTCTCAGACTGGTACCAGCTCGGGAGACTTGCTCCCCTGCTCATTCTCCTCAGCTGTGCGGGCTCTGCCGACCCCCACTCTGCAGCAATGACCTCAAACGCACCTCTTGAGGACATTCTGACTCTCACAGTGAGCGACTGTGGCATAGGACCCTGAGGGAGCCAGGGGCTCCTATGGGCCCCAGGTACATTTCTAGTTTGACCTTGATTTACCTTCCGAATGTTCCCAGGAAGTCAAGATGGAAAAACTGGGGGGACTCTGGGGCTTCAGCTGGGTCATCTCAGAACAAATGGACTTGAATTCTGGTCTCAGGTCTCCCTGAATTCCCAAAGCTCATACCTTTGCCAGAGGGGGCCCATGAAGGAACACTGCCTCCCGGAAGGTGACAAGGTGAGTCAGGGTCAATGATGGGCCTCAGACTGGGCCATCTGGACTCCCAGCCCAACACTGTATATGTTTTTTCTCTGTTCAGCATGGATGGCTGGCTTCTAAGCCACTAATTCTGTCCCTTAGTCCCAGTGTCCTCTGACCTAGCACTTGGGGCCTCCTGTCTTTGCACAGAGCCACCCTCCTTCTCAGCAATGCTGCTACTATAGGGAGTGGGTCAGTGACAGAGCCCTACCAGCCCCTTCCTTCCTTGGAGAGCAAGCCAGCTTGCTAGACAGGTGCCCCGGGCCTCAGTCTCCCTGTCTGTAAAGTGGGCCATTGGAGGTGTGAGTGGTCCATGGTGCCGGGACACCATGCTGATGTTCCAAGGGCCATCGCCCAGTTTGCCCCGCTGTTCGCGCCCTGCCACCAGCCCGCTGCCCCTCGTACCTTGCTTCTTCCTTCGGCTCGCTGGGAGCATGTCTACGGCGTGGGCGAGGAGCAGCAACAGGCAGAGTGGTGCCCGCATCTGGGCAGCCTGGTCGGGGCTGGCGCGCGGGGCTTTCCCCGGAGGCCCGATGGCTGCTCCCGGCGCGCGGGCACATCCGCGGGGCGAGGGCTCGGTACCGCCGCCAGGCACGCGCCGTCTGCCCAGGGGCCGGCTGCCAGGTCGAGTGAGGGCGTCTGCGGAGCCGGGACACTGCCCTGGCTGGGAGGAGCCGGCGCGCGGGGCGGCGCGTTAACCCGCTCGGAGGGCGCGCGCGGCGGGGGGCGGGGGTCGCCCGGAGGGGGTCCGGAGGTCGGTCGGTCCCGCAGTCCGCGGTCTGGCGTCGTTCCGCCCCCTGCACTGCCCCACTCACAGACCCGCCGCCGGCCGGCCAGACGCAGGTACAAATGCGCGACCGCCAAGTGACCCCCATCCCGGCGCTCTCGGCACCCCTGACACCCCACTCCCCGCCTGCCTCCGATTTTCTCCCTCCTCTGTCGCTCCTGGCTCCTGCGCCTGGCCCTTCGGGGGCCACTCCTGAACTTCCTCTTGTTTTCTCTGTGTCTCACAGTCCCTTACCCTGAGGCCTGACCGTCTGGTGTGCACCCTCTCTGCTCTGCCTTGTTCTTTCAAGAGAGTCCCGGGACCCTTCTGGCCATGGACCCTGCATGTTTCCTGCGCGGCCTGCGGGGAGCCCCTAATCTTTGATGCCAAGTGACCGGCACCTCATAAATTCACTGGACTGTGTTTCCTCCAACCTTATCTACTGGATGGAGAGCAGCTCGGGCCGTTTTAACCCTTTCACAGCCGGATCCCTCCACCTACCCAGCAGACAGTGCACTCCTGCCTCAGTCAAACTCCCCACCTTAACCAATATCAGTAATAATAATGGTAACTGTCATTTTTGATGCCTGTGTGCTTGGGGTTGTGCTAAGCACTTTACACATAATATCATCTTCAAAGTCACCCAGTGAGGGTCTACTCTGATCAGCCCCACTTTACAGGGAGGAAAGAAGCTCAGAGAGGCCAGTGACTTGCCCAAGGCCACACAAAGCAGATCAGCGCCCTGTCTGTGTCCAACACCTGCCCTCTGGGCCACTACTCAGGACACCGTGGAGCTTAGCTTGGACAGTCTCTTGCTGAAAAACTGTCCTTTCCTCTTCCTATGTGTGTGGCTTGTCCCCTTCAGCCCCTTGTCTCCATCCTCAGTGAGTCCCAGGCCCTCCATGCCTCCAGGCCCTCCATCCCTCTGAGCCTTTCCTGTGTGGCTTCTCCATGAAATATTGGCCTACACATCCCATCCCCTTTCTTCGCTGACTCATTCAGGACCCCGCCCTGGATATGCCCCTCATCTAGGAAGCCTTCCTGGATTCTCAGGCCACATTCAGTTCTTTCTCTGGGCTCCCACAATCTCTTTATCACAGCTTGGCCCTAGGTGGTAACTATTGATGTCTCTGTCCCTCACTCTACATTGTCAACTCTTGGGAGGCCAGAGATGAGGTTATATCTGGGTCCCTGGAGCCCTGGGCCACACTGGATGTTGTTGAATGAATGAACGGATGAGCTCTCTGGATGGAGGAGTCTCCTGGTTTCTACACGGAATTCAGGTACGGGGAGAAATGAGGTAACCCTAGAAGATCTGGAGGAGGAAGTTGGAAAGTCAGCCCCTATCCAACCACCCCCAGTCCTGAAGTCTCCAGAGTCCAGAGCAGGATAGCCTGGGTGAGCAGGGCTGGGGAAGAGCGATGCACACGGTAGCACGGATGGGGGTGGTAGTGTGTGCCAAGGCCATGGCTATTGGACAGACACCCAGCTCTGCAGGCTGTAGCCTCTCAGTCCTTCTCTTCCCTCTCTCCGTGCTCCAGCTGCCCAGCCTCCTCTCTATCAGACTCTGCTGTGTGCCCTCAGCAGGGCTTTTTGCTGTTCCCGCCGTCTGGAAAATCCTTCCTGAGATATCTTCAGGACCTGTCTCCGCTCAAGGTTACCTCCTCAAAGAGGACCCCTCTGACTGCTCCAGATAAAGCCAAACATTTCCTTTACCCCCTTACTTTGCTTTATTCTCCACAGTACCAAGTACATAGTCTTGTTTGTGTTTGCAGTTGGCTTGTTTGTAAGTTCTACGAGGGCGGGAATCTTCTATATTATCTGTATGCTTAACACAGAAAGTGCTTAATAAATATGTGTGGAATGAATAAAAGAATGGATGAATGAGGGCTCACTCACCCACTGATTCACTGTAGGACCTCAGGCATCTCCTGCTGTCTTGGGCTCAGTTTCCCCTGTTCAGTGGCATGGATGGGTTTTTGTGTTTTCTGAGAGTCTTACAATCCTTTCAGAATCTGCTATTTCTCAGATTCTGTGAGCCAGAACTCAGACCTCTACTCGGCTCTGAGATGTACAGACGGTTTCGGGGTCTCTGTAGCTATAGGAGGCTGTCTGAGAATCTTAGCCAGCCATCTGGTCACCCTCAAGACAAGCGTCCAGAGAGGACATCAAGGCCAGTGGCATCCCAGGAGGTGTGCACACTAGGGGCATCAGTTAAGGAACCGCAGGACACTGTCACAAATAGATGAAGACTGGTATAATGGCTACAGCACATGACAGTCCTATTGGGTGTTTTGGATCAGCAAATCCTTCCCCTGCATGGACAGCCAGGTCTCAGGTTCCTTCCAGCTTGTGCTCTGCTCTTAGTACATGGCTTAAGGCTTGCTGTGGATGGGGCAAGGCATGGAAGATCGTCTATGGGGGGTACCGATGTCCTCCCACCTCCCACGGGCCAGAATTCAGTCACATAGCCACACCTACCTGCAAGGGTGGCTGGGAAACGCAGTCTAGCTGCGTGCTCAGGAAGAAAACCAAAAGAGTTTGGTGAGAATTGGGCCATTCTATCACAGTGGACCACTCTCATTCTTGCCTTAAAGAGGCAGTAGTTCTTGCCTGTGTTGGTTCTGACCACTACACGTTCTTTTTCCTAAGCAGCCAGAGGACCTGGATTTTCTTCCAGGTGAAGGCCAACATTTTTCTTGGGGCTGCAAGGGCTGCAGGATGGCTCCTGCTAGAGTGACCAATTGTCCCAGTTTGCCAGGGATTGCAGAGTTTCCTGGGATGGAATTTTATTTCATGTACAGCTTTGTGTAACCACCACCACATCAAGATACTCAACTGCACTGGCAAAAAATTCCCTTGTTACCCCTTTTTGACTCCATCCACTCTCTCCTTTATACCTCAACCCCTAACAACCACCAATCTGTTCCCCATTTCTACAATTATGTTGTTACACAAATGTTACATAATGGAATCTTGTAGCAGGTGTCCTTTTGAGATTGGCTTTCTTTATTCAGCTGAATTTCTTGAGTTTCGTCCAAGTTTTTGATGATTAACAGTTGCATTTTAGGGGCACCTGGGTGGCTCAGTCGGTTAAGTATCTGCCTTCAACTCAGGTCATCATCTCAGGGTCCTGGGATCGAGCCCTACGTTGGGCTCTGGGCTCCCTGCTCAGGGTGGAGCCTGCTTCTCCCTCTGCTTGCTTGTGTTCTCATTCTCTATCTCTCTGGAAAGTAAATAAATAAATAAATAAATAAATAAATAAATAAAATCTTTAGAAGAAAAATAGTTGCATTTTAATGCTGAGTAATATTCCATTGTATGAATGTACTAGAGTTTCTTTAGTCATTCATTCTCTGAAAGACATTTAGATAACTTCCAGTTTTTGGTTATTAAGTACAAGGCTACAATGGATGTTTGTCTACAAGTTTCTGTATATTGTCTTTAGCAAAATGTCTGTGCATGTCTTTTGCACTTCTTTTTTAAACATTTTTAAAATTTTTTATAAACATACAATGTATTATTGGCCCCAGGGGTACAGGTCTGTGAATCGCCAGGTCTTTTGCACTTTCTGATTGTAATTTTTTAGTTTTACTGTTGCATTTTAAGAGTTCTTTATTTCATAAAGAAGTCCTTTGTTGGGTATATGATTTGCTAGTATTTTCTCCTAGTCTATAATTTGTCCCTTCATCTTCTTTCCAGCATCTTTTACAGAGCAAAGGTATCTAATTTTGATAAGGTTCACCTTGTCAATTTTTCCTTTTATGGATTATTCTTTTGGTATCAAATCTAAGAACATTTGCCTAGTCTCAAGTCTCAAAGATTTTCTTCTATCTTTTTTCTAGAAGTTATATCTTTTTATATTTAAGTTCACAATCCATTTTGAATTGATTTTTGCATAAAGAATGAGGTCCACATCAAAGTTCATTTTTTGCCTGTGGATGTTCAAGTGATCCAGTATGATTTGTTGAAGATGCTGTCTTATCTTCACTGAATTGTTTTTGCTCCTTTGTCAAAAATTAATTGGGCATATTTGTGTGAATCTATTTCTGGGTTATCTATTCTATTCTGCAAACTATGTGTTGTTCTGTCTGCCAATACCTCACTGTCCTGATTACTGAAATCTTGAATTTGGGTAATCTGATCTCATCCACCTTATCCTTTCTCAAAACTGTTTTAGCTATTCTAGTTCTTTTGCCTTTCAATATAAATTTTATAATAACTTTGCCTATACTTATAAATAATCTTGCTGGGAATTTTATCAGAATTGCATTAAACATGTATATCAATTTGGGGAGAATTAACATCTTGACTACATTGAGTCTTCCATCCATGAACATGGTATATCTCTCCATTTATTTATATCTTCTTCGATTTTTTAAAGAATCAGTGTTTTGCCATTTTCAAGTCCTAAAATTTTTATTTGATCTGCACCTAAGAATTTTTCTTCCCTTTTAAAAAAGGATTGTAAATTGTATTGTATTTTCAATTTTGTTGCACCATGTGTTCATCCCTAGTTTACAGAAATACAACTGATTTTTATGTATTGATCTTGCACCCTGACACCTTGCTGAACTTATTAGTTTAAGAAGTATTTTTGCACATTTATAGGGTTTTCCAACAAAGATAACATGTCTCCTGCAAACAGGGACAGTATTCTTTCTTTTGTTCTGATTTGTGATCCTTTTATTGCCTTTTCCTTCTTGTATTGGCTAGAA